GGTTTTAAAATTGTCATTGACAAAATTGTTGCCGGCCATAACAATTTTTTATGTAATTATTTTAAGAATATTCAAATTATTGAAAACTGATGAAATGTGCGCAATTACCATATAAAAAAATTTACAAAATTCTACTGTGAAAACATTCCGACGGAGCTATTTAGTTTTTTCGCTATTGTCGTGACAATTTTGTCAGAGTGACAATTATCAGCACCATTGTCGACAATATTCCAGTATTGTAACCATTATAAAAGCATAGTAAGGTAAAACCGTTCTCTCAATTCATCGGCCATGTTTTTTTTTGAAGCTTGCCAACATTTTAAAATCATATAAAATTGAGAGGAAAAAAAGGAATTGTTCAAAGTTGTTTGAGATTGAAAATGAGAATGTGTGTGTGAGTTTGTGTGTAAAATTTTAAAATTAAATTGCTTGCAAACGTCAAGAATTTGAAAAATTTCTCTCAGCGGTTCCACCTTCCTATTTTTTTTATCATGATTGTAACTGTCGCTTTCTAAACGAATTCACAGTTACCTACAAGCGTATATGAAACAGAAAAAATGTCGCCTACAATTCTGGCTCTGAAATTTTATAAAAAAAATCGACAATTGTCACACCTGTCACGTTTATGAAATAGGCCTCAGGAATGGGTATTTTTGAATTAATTATTATTCAAATAAAAAAAATAAAAATTAAATGAATTTTTTTTTCATCATCCAAATTTCTTTGAATCACAAATAAATTTGCATCCATCTTTCGACTAATTTTGAATGAGGAATAAATTTGTATACATCATTCAAGTAATTTAGAATGAGGAATAAATTTTTTTGCAACATTCAAAAAATTTTGAATGAGGAATAATTTTTCATTTATTATTCAGTCATTCTTTCTTGATCATCACTATCAAGATAAATGTTCCGCGTACAGGCAGATGCTGGTGCGCGAACATGTACATTGATCGCCTACCTCTTACGATAGTAAAACAAGAATGATGGGATGATAAATGAAAAATTATTCGTTATTTTAAATTACTCGATTGATGAATAAAAATTTATTCGTCATTCAAAATTATATGAAGGATGAATGAAAATGTATTCTTATTTGAAATTACTTGAATGAACATTTATTTTTATTTGAAATTATTTGAATGACGAGTAAAAATTTATTTTTACTTTTCTTTCATTCAATTATTTATTTTCCCTGCTACTTCCATCCCTGATACAAACTATTTCAATAAATATGTAGAGAGTGTAGTCGTTTCTAGGTTACAATAAATAACACTCACCAATTAAATCTACAATAACAAGTGGATCGCTATTAATGTATTTATTAGTGCGTCTCTGGTAGTCTGGTTCCCCTAGTAAGAACGCAGCAACATATGGCGTGAATATCGCTGTATATATAACAAGTATTAAAATTATCCAATCCCAAACTGCTTTAAATGGAGAATAGTGCAATATTGTCCATTTGTGATATTCAGTGTTGTCGATCTTTTTATCTGGTAAAATCGTTGAACCGAGCGATAGTACCTGCATTTTGAGTACACAATCAGGAGAATATCGTTTTAACATGAATTTGGAGAGCCGATAAATCAGAAGAAATTATAATTAACATACATGTGCATGCACGTAGTTCTGATGTGCTTTCTTCGAATAGACTACAAATCAATAGGACAACATACCAGTTTAATTAAAGGATGAACAAACAAAGAATATAAAATGAAAATTTTTTAAAATACATAAATCTTAAATGCTATTACATGAAGGTAAGTTTATATTAAGTAGTATAAATATAAGAAGGCTTAGGCAAAAAATAGTATCGCACGTTTAGGGAGCACATTTTAGTTTTTTTTTTTTCGTTAATATCAAAACTAAAATATATTGTAGTACAACTTACAGCCTCAACCGAGTCTGGCAATTTTAACGGTTTAGCACCAAGCAAAGGTTCTTTGTCCGGAATGTCCTCGGTATGCTCCTTTGAAAGCCTTTGTGGTATTTTTTTCTTTATAAAATTTTGTGACGAGATTTTCGATCGAACACTATCGTATGAAACAGTTTTCTCGAAAACATTCGCTTGGCTATGTATTCTCTCCTTTCGCTTGTTATATGTGAGATCATTACCATAAAAAATGTTGTTTTTGTGTAGTTTATCCTTCTCGCTTGGTGTCGTTGACGACTGGATATTACATTTCAAATTTTGATCTTCACATTTCGTACAGTTGCCTCCATACACGTTCCATTGGTTTACATTATTAAAATCTTCGCTATTATTTTTGTTCAAGGCGGAAAACTGCTTTTTACTCTTGCTTATATTTTCAACAACCATACACTTAGATGTTTCGTATTTAATTTTGTTAGTCGGTTCTGCATCTAATTTATTTTTTATCTTGCATACAATATTTTCACTCTCATCTGTGCGTGCAATTTTATGATAAATAAATCGATTTATATTCCTTTGATTCTTGCTGTTGAAGGCCAGCTTATTATAATCGTAGCCTTCCGTGAATATTCCGGAATTTATGAGTATATCCGACACGAAAATGGTTTTCTTGTCCATTTGCCTGAGTTTGCACATAAAAGAAAATAGTTCTTTTTCTACAAATTTGTTTAAGTTGGTGTTCAGAAGTATTTCGTTAAAATTGTTTGTTTTGAGGCACACTTTTTTGTTGCGAATTTGTGATGCTTGTTGCATGCCATTATTTGAAATATAATATTCACACTGTCGTAAAATTTTATCCAAAATCCGGATTTCGTTCAATTCAAAACATGAATTGTGAGACATGCTGAAATACGCATAGATACGTTCATACATAAACATATGTACATGAATGTGATTTATTTAAATAACTTTACCTCGTTGCAAAGTGTTTTTTGATTTCGAGTTTATAAAATTAGTGTTTTCGCTAATACTGGCCACTTTAAAATAAAGAATGGCTTAATATAAAAATTATTTTTCAACCAAAGAAGTTAGCGATCCAATTTAATTCACGTGAATGAGGTAATCTATAAAAAAATCAATATTATGGCATTGCGCAAGAGTCGTTTTAGTTAGACCAAGTTCAAACATTCATATACAGTGATTCAAACAAATGACCACGTGTTGACTTTTCTTTAGACGTTCGTAATGTTTTTTGAGTTAATTTTTTTTTTGTTATTATTCTATAAGGATGTGGGCTTTAACCAAAAACATATAAATCACAGTTTCAANTCAATATTATGGCATTGCGCAAGAGTCGTTTTAGTTAGACCAAGTTCAAACATTCATATACAGTGATTCAAACAAACGACCACGTGTTGACTTTTCTTTAGACGTTCGTAATGTTTTTTGAGTTAATTTTTTTTTTGTTATTTTTCTATAAGGATGTGGGCTTTAACCAAAAACATATAAATCACAGTTTCAAACTTTATACAAAATGTAGGAAAATTCATTTAAACTTTTTAATCTTGCTTTGCTAAAATTTTTTATTTATGGTTCTCTGCAGATTTTACTCGCGTGAAACCAGCAAAAATTTAGACATTACAAATTTGAAACAAACTTGATTTTTCGTCATGAGTCGGAAAACGCCACTTGGCGACAAAGAAAGCAATGATACAACCGTCTCCGAGGAGAAAAAAGCTTTACGATCGTCGTGCAAAAATGACGCCGTATATGATCAAATACAAAAGGATGTTGAGGAGATGTCGTTTCTATTCGTCGAGGTATCAAGATACATTCACTTTACACTGATGAAACGTTGGGTACAAGGAAACTTTGACGCAATGAATTTTCTTGACTGTTAATACCAGTTGATGATAAAGAAAAAAGCGAAGTATATAATAGACCAGGAGTATAATATGCTGCGAAAAAACCTCAAGTTGTACGATAGTTCGTATCGGTAGGAATTATTTGTGGAAAACGCGAATAAATTTATGACTCTGTTCCATAACAATATTTGGATGCACGGTTATACTCGGCTAAGAAAATATTTCAAATTTGAAGAAGACAAAAAAGGTATATAATACACTGAGCTACCTATTCGAAAAGAATTCAAAAAGTATCCCAGATTGGCCCTTACTTGAACGTATGCGTACCGATTTAGAATGGAACGGAAATAAACTTCACGAAATAGGGAATGTGAAACTATTTTGGTCTTCCATCGAATTATTTTATAACCTGCAACGATATAATGAAATCAAAGAAATAAAAAAATTTTTCACTAATACCACAACTAAAACACGGTTTACATTACGTCAGATACGATCGATTTGCGTTCCATCAACTATTGTGTCGATTAAAATTATTCGAAGGACTATTTTCTTCCTCCGATAAAAGTGAAATTGGAAAATATTTTAAAATTTCTTCAACGTGTACTAAAACTTTTTCGTCCCTACAAACCGATGGAGTGGCGGTATCATTTTGTATGGAAAAAAACACAAAATGAAACCAAAGGCAAAAAAGAGAACTGAAATCAAATGAAACCGATTGTGAAGGTGATCTAATAAAAATACCCGGAACAAAATACGACAAGATTGGGCTAGATCCTGGGTGTCGGCTCATTTTGGCTGGGGTCCGGAACAATGTTCCTGTCAAAATTAAAAATTCATACTACCAAAATCTTTCTGTTTTTTTTCTTGAAATTGTAACTGAAGAAATACACGAAAGATTTCACGACAAAAACAGAATTGTCTGCGAATTCGTAAACTTTAAAGAATACTGTAAATTTCAACTTGAGATACTTGAACAAAAGCAACAAATATTCTCGCAAAGAAAGGTGGCTCATCTGAAGTTGAAGAAGTACATTTGCTGACAAAAAGCCTGCAAACAAATTGCGCAACAACTGGTACCAAACACAAAAGAGAGTGCATTGATATGTATAGGTTCCACCGAAATTGCTTCAAACTCACCTATACGCGGATATCGGCGCACACCTAACCGTCTACTTTTAACAGCTTTAAAACAACGGCATGCAGATATTAGCTCTGATCCAATAGTTTTCGTGAAAAATCCTGTAAAACTGTCAAACAGCAAAATTGCTCTCTGAAGTGAGAGTAAAAAGGGAGTAACAACAAAAAGTACGGGAACAAAAAACCCTTTTTCCTGTAAAAACGTCAACCAGCGATTGCTTGACACTTTTCATGATTTTACTAGAAGAAAAATTTTGGGTAAAATCTTGCAACTTCATTCTCTACACAACGCTCCCAAAGTCGCTCTCATTTACAGGATTGTGGAGGATTTTGGAGTACGGGAACATTTTTCCTGCAACTTCCTGCAAATTCGTGTAAAATCCTGTAAGTTCATGGAGTACTGGATCAGAGCTATTCTGATGGTTCATGAATTCAGAACAACCAAGCTTTGCGCAAAATGTTTTAGCGTCAACCTGACGGCCAAATCGCCCCACAGATACCAATTTTGCCCAAAATCTAGCTGCTGGAATCGAGACGTCAATGCTGGGAAATTCTCTAGCTGGGAGAATGTGTCATCATCCAACACGCAAAACACGAAAATTTTTAAAAATAACATGTCACTATTTCTTTTATAACGGCAACTGTGTACATCTGACTGGCAACAGTTCAACTTTAATGTTTATGTGCCTTGGCACATTACATTTTCTCTTTGGGGAATATCGCATGCAGTTTTTACGGTAAGCATCAGTCGTTATGGTTTTTTAGTTTTTCTCAGTAGACTTAGCAAAAAATGTAATTCTAGGTAATATCCCACATATCCTTAAAACTGATTATAAAATATTTGCGTGTGCACACAGAATTATTATGAAAAATCGTTTGATTGGATGTCTGGCAACCGTGAATATTTGACAATCGCATTAAAGCTCCGCTTTGGCAACATCGACAGAAAAACACTGGCCAAACTATTATTGATTTGGTTTGGGATTTAAAACTAATATGGAATCAAAAAAACTTGAAGAGGGTCAAGAATTGATTCGACAAGCAGAGAAAAGGTAAAAAATTCTATTTAAAGGTCTATAAATTTCAATATTTGATTTTTAGCTTGAAAGTTGGATTACTAAAATGGAGGCCCGACTATGACGTAGCTGCAGACGAATACACAAAAGCAGGTATTATACATTATTATAATGCTAATAATCCATTGAAGAAATGAGCTATACATTTTAGTATATTTTAAAGTTTGTTATTTACTTAATGGTTAATCGTCTGAAAACAGATTCTGTAAGTCGGGGCCAACATAAATGATATCCCATATATGTTCATATGTATGTACATACGTGTGTGCATAAATATCAAGGATATTTTATATGAAAAAATGGGAGAATCGGAATGTTGATATTCGTAATCTAAAACTAATTCAGATACATTTTTATATTTTATAGCTACCGCTTTTCGTATAGCCAAGGCCTATGATANGTAATCAAAATTTAAAACTAATATGGAATCAAAAAAACTTGAAGAGGGTCAAGAATTGATTCGACAAGCAGAGAAAAGGTAAAAAATTCTATTTAAAGGTCTATAAATTTCAATATTTGATTTTTAGCTTGAAAGTTGGATTACTAAAATGGAGGCCCGACTATGACGTAGCTGCAGACGAATACACAAAAGCAGGTATTATACATTATTATAATGCTAATAATCCATTGAAGAAATGAGCTATACATTTTAGTATATTTTAAAGTTTGTTATTTACTTAATGGTTAATCGTCTGAAAACAGATTCTGTAAGTCGGGGCCAACATAAATGATATCCCATATATGTTCATATGTATGTACATACGTGTGTGCATAAATATCAAGGATATTTTATATGAAAAAATGGGAGAATCGGAATGTTGATATTCGTAATCTAAAACTAATTCAGATACATTTTTATATTTTATAGCTACCGCTTTTCGTATAGCCAAGGCCTATGATAAAAGTAAAGAGTGTTTATTAAAAGCTATCGAATGTCACAAAAACAATCGTTCGTGGTTTCACGCTGCAAAATGCTACGAGCAGGTGGGGGTTTGATCAGAGTTTATTAAATTTCTTCATTCGCAAACATTGTATTGTTTTATATTTTTAAGATTATTCTCATATTAAAAGAAACGAACTGCTTACCGGAAATAGAAGAAAACGTGAATAAGGCCTGTAACTTATACCAGCAACATGGATCACCTGAAGCAGCTGCAACGGCTTTAGACAAAGCCGCAAAAATTGTAGAACAAAAGCATCCCGAATTAGCTCTAACATTCTATAAACATGCTCTGGAAGTTGTTATGGTATGGAAAGAAAAACACTTGTGATAATCTTGAACTAATTTTAATAGTTTTGCTAATGACAGTTAGATGATTCCACACGCCATGCTGCTGAATATGCATCGAAAATTTCAAGAATTTTAGTAAAATTGCAAAGGTGAGCATATTGAGGCCCAAAATATCCCAAATAGTATTTTATGTATTCATCATTATTCATTTCATCAATAGGTATGATCAAGCTGCAGATGCAATAAGACGTGAGATTGGTTTAAATCAACAAACCGAGTCTTATGGACAAATCGGGCGTTTAGCGGTAGCACTTGTTTTAGTTCAGCTTGGCCGAGGTGATTTTGTGGCAGCTGAAAAAGCTTTTAAAGAATGGGGAAATTGTTGTGATTCAGAGGAAGTTCAAACACTAGAACTGCTTTTGCAAGCTTTTGATGACGAGGACCCTGATTCAGCCAAACGGGCTTTAGCAGCTCCTTTTATTCGCCATATGGATGTGGAATACAGTATTCTCGCTAGGGACATTCCATTACCACATGGTTTGTCAACCGCTCCAAAAGCTGATGTGATCAAAGACGCCGCTCCTTCCTATATGTCGCCAAATACAGAGGTATGTAAAGATACTCTTTTAAGTAGAACCGATTTCCCAGTACTAAGTCGAGAGCACTATTTTACTTGTTACAATTAGTGCAGCTTTAAAAGTTATTCTGATAATAATTGTAATACTCCGACAATCATAATAATTTCTTCATTCTCTCATTAAGTTAAGTAGGGTTCGGTTCAGTGAAGTTGGCTCTAATTTTAAACCTACATAGTTATTAAATTTTCTATTTTAAAACAGATATCTGATGATGGTTCAAATAAAGCTGATGTACCTGTCGATGACGAAGAAGAGGATGAAGGATTGTGTTAGTCAATATTAACTAGTTATATTTCTAAAGCTAATATTCGTTTTGGTATTTAATAAGGTTAATAAAAGTTTACTCCCTTAAGAGATGTGTCCATTTGTTTTTCTTTTTAGCTCGATCCTTGCCTTTATTTATAATTAGATACATATATGTGTACGTACTTTTGATAGTAATTTGTAGTTTGACATTTAAATGCATTAAAATATATTCACCCATGTATGTAAAACTTAATTCTTAAATCGACTTTGGTGGCTAGTATATAATTAGCGGTCGCTGTGGTGTAGTGGTTAGCAGTGCGCGCTACCACTCCACAGGGCCTGGGTTCAAGCCCTGGTCAAAGCAACATCGCAAAAAATATAGAAAACGGGTTTTTCTTAACGGGCAATGGCGAGTATTTCTGCCGTCAAAAACAGACTTTTTAATCGGAATTTCTAGGAGAAAATCTGGTATGTGGTTTAAAGCCGATTCCATTTTATTGCATTATTTTGGAAGTTGGACTAGCTCAAAAATTTCGTTGATTTTTTTGCTGACGATGTTACGTATTTTCTTGCTTACGATGTGTTGTAGATTTTTTTTTATAAGAGAAAAATTACTAGATTTGTTAGCTAATTTAAATTAAATCTAATTAAGGAAAAATAAATGGTAAGAACTTCTAAAAACCAAAAGTTCCAATTATCGGTCCCCCAGTGTACGTACAGTATCGGTCATATCTATAGCACGCCATTTCAAAACGATATTGTGTGCAACTTATGTTTATTTTTTTTTTTTAGTTTTGAGAATTTTCAATTAAAATACAGTTCTTTCTCTAACAAACCCCATATAAATCCAAGTTTAACAATTTGTAGAAATCTTCAAAAAAATGCAACAAATTTTCACCTAAATTTCAAACTTTTTTCTCAGAAGTGTTTGAATTTTTCTGAATACACAGTTTTATAGCCCAATGAATTTTAGTCTGATAATGTGCAAATTTCAAGTGACTGAAAGTTACCGTTGATTTTTTAGAATTTTTTCCTCAAAGGTGTTGCGGCTTTCCTCCATTTACAAATAAATTGAGTTTATTCATTATATGGAAGCCAATGCAACAAAAAAAAAAATAAAAAATTAACGGTACTTCGTACCTACTTGAAATTTGCACATTATCAGACTAAAATTGCAGGGGCTAAAAAACTGTGTACTCGAAAAAAACACTACCGAGAAAAAAGTTTGAAATTTAGGTGAAAATTTGTTGCACTTTTTTGAAGTTTTCTATAAATTGTTAAACTTGGGTTTATATGGGGTTTGTTAGAGAAAGAACTGTATTTTAATTGAAAATTCTTAAAAATAAATAAATAAACATAAGTGGCACACAATATCACTTTGAAATGGCGTGCTATAGATATGACCGATACTGTATGTACTTTGCATGCATATTTCAAGGTTTGATAACCTGGCAGTTGTTTCGCTCAAACGGCTGCCCTAGCGCTAGTACCTTAGTGCTTGTTTGCAAACTTAGTTGACGTTGAGTTTGCAAGAACTTATATTTTTCTTTGAAAAATATGTTATCAACTATATGCTAAAATATGTATATTTAAGATAGCATAAAAATGCCTTTCATTTGTTTTTGTTTTCTCGTACGTAAGCGTATTTTTTTATATAAAAATACAAATCAGATGAGAGGTATTTTAATTACATACTTTACCAACCATACCCTCGATCGGTTCAATATTTTTCGATATATGTATGTATAAGCTTTTCAAAATATTGAAAATTTTAACTTTACCCCTCTCCAACAACCCACGCCCACCTTAACTTTTTCTAGCTCGACGGGGCCTTTTTTCACACAAAGATTCCCTCTTTCCCCTTATACTGCACAACTTTTTGTAAGAGAGTGCAAAAATGCGGCTGCCGTTTTGTGTATTAAAAAACGCACATATTAATGTATCGTGTATACAAATACATGCTAATGTTTCCCTGTTAGCCTGATCCCGTACACCAAATCATGGCGGGATTTACGGGACAATCCATTCGCTTTTAATAAAACTAATGTGAAGTAGCGTACGGGAACAGATTCTTGTAAACCCGCCAAATCCTGGAGTACGGGAACAAGCTAATTTTGTAATGTGAAATTAAATTTAAAGGTGGCAACATCTATTCATTTGTTTTGACAAGTACACTTCGTTTGGTGTTTAGGTAATGGACTTTTATGTGTGTTGTTTCATCTTTAATGTCAAAATTTCCCACAATGGGATGGTCGGTCCGAATATTTCATAGATAAAATTCTTTGAGAAAAACTGTTGTATTATTGACCAATTTTGTGGATTAAAAAAGAATAATCAAGTACATATATGAGAACAATACGATATGTAAAATTATGGGATTCAAGTTTTGCTGAAGCCAATAAACTCACCGCGCCTCGGGTTGGCGGCGGCAGCGTTGTGTATATACTGCAATGAAAATGCGACGAATTGAAAAAAAACTTGCATTCATTAGCTATTGGCATTAACGAAAGGTCCTGTTAAATATTTATTATCCTGGAAGTTTGGTGCGAAACGTGCAATAAACCGTGAATATTGAAGAGCTGGTGAATGTATGAATTAGCGAATTAAGTAATCCTTATCAAAATGAAACAAGTGTGCGATTCGAAGAAAGTGAAATATATCTATATATCTAATTTGCAACCACTCCTAAAACGCGAATTTATATATGATCGCTGGAATCGAAAGACTTCTTCAATAAAAAAGCAAGTGCAATAATTTGGATGTACCAATAGCGCTGAAAAGAGGCGTCCAATCAAATATGCAAGCGAAAAAGCGATATATTTTGGTTTTTGTTTCATGTGCATTTCTTGCATATTGCTATTTTGGTGGTTACCGCCTCAAAATTGGTGATGGGTCCCATCGCAATCTTCAAGTCGTAGATTTGGTTACTCGAGCTCGACTCCTTGAAAAGTTACCCAGCTATAAAACTATCGAAATGGAACGCATTCCATATGGGATCGATGGAATTGTCACAGCAAACCATCTACATGATGATAATGAAACCCCGATGCAAAAATTGATAAAATCACGTTCTTGTCGTATGGAAAGCTGTTTTGATTTTACCAAATGTTACGGAGAATTTTTGGTCTATGTATATCCACCGGAGCCNGAACCCCGATGCAAAAATTGATAAAATCACGTTCTTGTCGTATGGAAAGCTGTTTTGACTTTACCAAATGTTACGGAGAATTTTTGGTCTATGTATATCCACCGGAGCCTCTGAATTCCTTGGGTGCAGCACCTCCAATATCTGCTAATTACCAAAAGATATTATCCGCGATTCGAGAATCGAGATACTATACATCTCAACCTGAGCGTGCTTGCTTGTTCGTGCTAGCAATCGATACCCTTGATCGAGATTCTTTGTCGAATGATTACGTGCGAAATGTTCCGTCGAGACTAGCGCGTTTGCCTTATTGGAACAACGGTAGAAATCACCTTATATTCAACTTATATTCCGGAACATGGCCTGATTACGCAGAGGACTCGCTTGGTTTTGATCCAGGGGAAGCTATACTCGCAAAAGCAAGCATGAGTGTATTTCACGTCCGTCAGAATTTCGATATTAGTATACCACTGTTTCATAAACAGTTTCCTTTGCGTGCGGGGGCTTCTGGTCTAGTCCAAACCAACAATTTTCCAGCTAATAAAAAATATTTATTAGCTTTCAAAGGAAAAAGGTAAGTGGCCCTATGTCTACAATGCAATATATAATGTACATATGCAAGTACTTGCCCTTAGTTTCAGTCCTTAAAAACATCAAATATCATGTACTATTCTACTATTAAGTATTTTATGTATCTGCAACTAAAAAAAATTGGGTAGGTAGATTTTTTGCATAAATTAATTCGTAGCATTTATCACCAATTAATACAAATATATTTTTTGTGATTATATTCTCTAACTAAAAAACTACCGTTATACATACATACATGTTTTTGTATTAACGCCTCTTTTCAGCTTGGTCTGAAATGTCGAATGTTAGAAAATTTTTATATGTGTGTTACATATAAAACTTGTACACGGCTTAAGGCGTTTTGCTAACACAAATCATACCTGACATACTTGTACTTAAATATACTTCTAAACTGCGGTCCATCAAAAGGTTATCAGCTTAATGGCCAATAACAGATAAATTCGGCAGTAAAAACTAGCCTGATAAAGTGAAACAAGTTCACTTATTCTTATTTCAAAATTCTTAATTTGAGCAGAACTCAAATTTGTAATTAATTTTTAGTATTATAGGAATTTTTGTAATTAATGTGAGAAAATAGTAAATCATTTTAATTTTNTGTTGAAACTTATTAGCCCCAAAAGTTTCGGAGAACCGATGGAACCGCTGATAACATCATATATGAACATTAGGGAATGGATGGACTTTCTACTAGCAAGAGACTTAACGTTTATAAGCATACACCGAGCAGCGAAAGACGGAGAAATGACCCCGTCATTAAAATGAAGCGATTGCAGAGCAAACCGAACGAAACTCCTCTGCAATCGTTCAATTCTTAGGGAATGAGACGCATAGATCGGATTCAAAATTATGGAGGCGTATTCCAATTTAGTCCGCACTAAGGAACTATAAAGCAATTTTCGAGTACTTATATGGATCTTTAAAATCTCTAGCATAGCGCGTCATGAAAACTAAGTTAGTATACGCCTTAGGAATGATGTAATTGATGTGGTTAACAAAGGTAAATCCCGAATCAAAGAGCACTCCTAGATTCAGTAGTTCAACAACAGTGCTAAGCTCAACACATGAGACTGAGTATTTTGAAGGTATTCGATTCCGAGATTAGACAAGGTCATATGGAAACATTTATTAATATTAAGAGACAGCTTATTTCTAATGCTCTAATCAGTTAGCTTATTTAAGTCACATTGAAGTGCATAAGCGGGCAGGTAAGCTTACTAAAGAGTTTCAGGTGGTCCGCGTAAAGTAGAAATTTAGAATGACTAAAACAAAACATTTTACATTTTAAAGCTCCCTCAACCACCAGAGGGAGTCTCGATCGTCTCTTATGCTGACGATTGCACCTGATTAAACAACTCGAAGATCCTCGGAGTAACCTTCGACAATCTGGTTCTGAACAATGCAGCGCCTGTGTGGTCGGCGGGGACTAGTAGGACGCAGTGGATGAAGCTGCAGACCTGCCAAAACACGGCACTCAAGACAGCGACAGGATGCCTTCCGATGTCGCCGCAAGATCACCTGCACGCCGAGGCCCATATGCTCTCCGTTAAGGAGCATAACACAATGCTAAGCAAGCAGTGTCTAGTTGGGTGCCACAGACGAATGCCCGACATGCGGATATACGCCCCATGACTCACAGCATTTCTTCGCATGCTCACCGAACCCCACCCTACTGTCCCTGTGGACAGACCCCATCCAGGCTGCACGCTTCCTGGGGCCACCGCTAGTAGAGGTTGACGACAACGATTGAGGGATTGATCTGGGCGGGGTTGTTGTAGCCGCTACAAAAACAACCACAAGATAAACAAAACAAATAATACATGCCCAAGAATACTACCCTGAGGCACACCCGAAGTGGCCACAAACGGGTATGATTTAGATTTCTCGATTCCAATAAAGGAGATTCTATTACTGATATAGGACCTTAACCATGATAGGAATACTGAATGGAAACTGAAACTTAAGTTAAGTTGAGTTAGAGAAACCAGCCCTTAAGCTTTTCTAATAAAATGTGCGATACGGTATGAAATGCTTTTGAGAAATCCGTATAATTTTAAACTTTTTTTCGACAAAAGAGTAAGCACGGGGGTCGGGTCATAAGGTGTCTTTGTACCGCACCATTCCTATTTTTTTTTATTCATAAGAAATACTTTTCCTAAGAAATAATTCTTTTTTTCAATATTTAACATATGTTCTGATTTGATATTATGTGTATATAAAACAATGAAATCATGCAAAAAAAGAAAAAGAAAAATAAAAACAAAACAAAATAGAAACATTAAAAAGAAAAATAAAAATTAGAAAAAATTTAAATATTAAGAAAAATAAAAATAATCATTTAATATTATTTTATTTCTACAATTAAGAACATTGTACAAAAACTATATATTATTCGGCTAAATACCGGATTTCCACTAGGCATTAAATAACACCAATTATATTAACCAAGTTGGGTATTAAAAAATACCTGTGCCATCAGTTGCCATTCAATTCGTTTCCACGTGACAGTTTTTAACGAGCACAACTTTTTCGTCATTTCAATGCCTAGTGGAAATTCAGCATAAAGTAAGAATTTATTTACCTCATATATGATTCATCGACTGGTAGAACAAGGAACAAAACATGTCCCATGTATCACATGTGATTTGCTTACTGTTTACTTAAAAAATTTACGAAAATCATAAAAGGCGAAAAATTTACGTATATAATATTTTTGTAAAAAAGGTAGGAGATCTAGACTTCCATTTTAAAAATAGGTTTTTTAATGCTATGTTTAAACCTAACTCGTTTACTTCAAATAATAAATAAATAAATNTTATAATATTTTTGTAAAAAAGGTAGGAGATCTAGACTTCCATTTTAAAAATAGGTTTTTTGATGCTATGTTTAAACCTAACTCGTTTACTTCAAATAATAAATAAATAAATAAGAATATACATATGGAAGTATGTATGTGTATTTAGTACTTAAAATTTATAAGATTTTGTCTCCGAATTTGATTTTTCCCCGATTATGCACTCGCATATCTCGCAACTTCGGCAACTCAGCAGCTTGTCTTGTTTTCATTGGAATAGATAATGGCTGTTTCCTTGATCTACCAGCCGATGGCTCACCAGATTGTTGCCTGCTTTCTGCTAGTAAAGTAGCTGCAGTTGTTGAACTATGTACTGAAGATTTAATTTCGGTGGAGATTTCTGACGATGAAAATCTATCTGGCTTTGAGTGTGATAGAGGCGACAAATTTTCAACCTCAGGTGGCCATTTTTCACTTTTGATCCGAGGCGGCAATCCTTGAAACCGAGCCCTGAACTTAAATGATTCCCTGGTGCTACTCATATTTTTTGTCATTTTAGGAGTCCAGTCTGTACTAAATTCTGCAATGTTTTTGCGCTGCTTTGATCTAACTACTGCAGCAGAGCTTGTTGCACCAGGTGATGGCGACACTGCAGCTGCATTTGATCGATCCTGAAAGCGTCGCAAGAAATTGGGTGGGTAGTTTGGTGGCTCCTCCGTAGAAACACTTGCTGGGGTTGTTGGTGTAAATTTGTCCCTGCTACCTACGTTGGAAGAAGATTGGCTAACACTGTGTCTAGGCGGAGCTGAACCTATTCGAACATTGATCCGGGAACCTTGTGTCAATGGTAAAGCTATAGATTCCTCTGCAATGTTCTCCGTCACTTCATAACCATTTGTCTGTGGCCCTTGGTCGTAGTAGTTTTGCAGAACGAGTGAATCGTGACTTTGCTGATAGGTGGTCGAGTCCTGTCCATAGTTGGTCAAAAATGGGCTCTCGGCTATATGTTTTTCCGGTTTTGGCAGTGCCTCCGCCATGATGCTAGTATGCAATGAACTTATTGGTTTGGCGGACAAAGAAGAAGAAACTATATTAGAAGTATCAACAACGGGTAGCCAGCCATTCTGCTGATCATCCATTTCTTGCTTCGATGGTTGTTTATACTTTTCGTCCTCAGATATATGGCTTAGTTCGTCATCCTCAATTTTGTGTGGGTATTGCCCTTCGGCAATTAACTCTTGTTCCTTTTCAAGCTTTTCCATTTGATCGCTGCTAAGATATGTTGGCACTGTCTTCTCCTGTGAAAGTGTCGTCATCGTATCCAAACTAACTGTTGGCTTAGGAATGATTTTAATAACCTTTTTGTTTGGCCGCATTTTAATAATTTTTATAGGTTTTTTAGTTGTTGGGTTGCGTATAATGTATTTTACTCTGGTGGTTTCTGAAGGCAAATAATCTAGTAGTTTACTGGGTACCACCGAGTGTGAGGTGGGGACTAGATCGGAAAGCAAATGCTTCATAGCATATGCCCTTGTAGCCATGTCACTTACAAAGTTATCCATGTGCATTTGTTTCCACATAAATCGACGCTGTATTCTATAAAGAATCCAAACATGCAGAATGTAGCAAATGTTTATATACATATATACATACATATACATGTACATACCTTGCTTCCTTGCCACTAGTGATCTTTCGACAACTTAGTAAACAGAAAAGAAAAACGAGATACCGCAGTTGCTTGTTCTGCAAAGAATTGATCCAAATTATGTATTATCGGAGAGCAAAATGTAAAACAGCAATTCGATTTACTTTCGAGTTGCTGCCTAATTACGCGTGTAGTGAAGCATACTTACCAAACACTTGCCAAAGAAAATATCCATTGTTTCGAATGCCTTTTCTCCACCTGTTGTGTGCGCTTAAGCAATTTCTGCAACATTATTTTTAGTCTATGGGTTGGCATTCAATTTATAGAGTCCAATATCTTCCACCGCTCACGATTGGCATTCGTTAGATCTTCGAAGCGGTGCATGGTACAATCTTCCAAGGCAATAAACTGCATTGAACTGCGATTTAAGGCGAATGGACGTTTGCGTACCATTTACACCTGTATGTATATTTATGTACGTATGTATGTAAGCGCATTAGTTCAGATATGAATGACGTGAAAACTCAGATTGTGGAACAAGCAAATTTATGCTTGTAAAATATATCGGATTTGCTTTTGTATGCCTTGGATTATTGTCTTCCTTTTTCCGCGTAACATTCGTTGGTAATTTAATGGTATTTAATGTTGGTATCGTGTTTAAGTGTCTTCGGATTTTCTTTCTGTTTTCATATATGCATACGCGTTCTCGTCTCTTGTTTAGATTTATGTATATGTACATATGTATGTATGTACATGCATATTTCATACGCATTTTTATGAACAAATATGTACATATATACGTATACTAACCAAAGCTTTTAATTCGACAAAACTTTATAATAATAAAAACTATGCAAATGTTTACTATCGAACATCAAACATAATGGTACAGTCAAATTTTGGTTACAAATTGGCCATCTAATAGTCGCATGAAATGAAAACCTCGATTTGTGGAGCTTGGGAGGTCATGGAATCTGCGCAATGTTGAAAACAAGGGTGATACTTAGGCATTTTTTCTGATAGGGTCAGGGTCCGAACTACTATATACTAAACGAGGGTATTCATACGTGGAAGTCTCAAACCCCAATTTTTTAAGAAGGTTAAAGCTTCAAATTTTTTTGTCAAAAATTCACTTACATTACATGAAATTTTATTATGCATCTGCAAGGTTGCTCGATTATTGGCATTTTTTCAAACTCGAGTTTCGGATATTAAAATTAAAGCGGTTAGATGACTTCTCTGAATCCAATTTTGAGTTTTGAATTGTGTCGTTATTGTAAAAGGACCATCGATATATTTATGACAGGAAAAGATACATATGTATGTATGTATACATTTGCAAAAAAACTAAAGTTCAGTCGGAAACCGCCCTTTACGAACAGCTGTTCCTTATCTATATATGGGTCAATCCATGCAAAAATTACACCAAAAATTTTTTTCTGCTCAAATTATTTTTCTTTGTATTCTGTAAAAATTTCGGAATGGGAAGTTCAAAATTACGCTTCTAATCAAATTTTAAGCAAACCCGAAAGCGCTAAAAACACGCGCTCTCTTTGGCGTGCACCGTCTATCTATATACTCGGAAACTGTATGTGTCAAATGAAAATAAAAAAATACGTGTATCATATTTTTATCCAAAGAATGCAAAGAAAAATAATTTGAGCGGAAAAAAATTTTTAGTGTAAATTTTGCATGGATTGGCCCATATATAAAAATGGTGTGAAAAATATATAGCAATTCATCAATTGGGAACGGTCGATTTGGCAAAAATTTTGTTTTAGTGGTTCGTAATTGCCAGGAGACGGTTTTTACGAAAAAAAATTTTGGGAAAACACTCCGGGATAGTCGGGAAATCGGAAAAATTGAAAATTGATTTTTTTGTACAATTCCTACGGAATTGCTTTCGAATGGAAAAATAGAAAATTCTAAGTGAAAAACTCGGAAAAATCCGGAATAACGCGAAAAAATTGAATTTTTTTCGACGAAATTTTGTATTTTATCGCATGATTTTGATGATGTGAAGCTTGGAAAATTTAGAATAATTGTGAAATTCATAGTAAGCATAATCAATTGGGACCAATTTTGTCCTATGTTTCATAACCGATTCGAATGGTTTCTGCTTTTTTTTGGAAAGGTGTTTATAAGGACGAGTGCACAAAGTTTTAATTTTTCCGATAGGTGGTGCAGGGGTCGAGCTACGCTAAAAAATGCATTTGGTACGTAGGTAGCCTTTTGCCTAGATTAGCATATAGGATCAATTTTTTCCGTTAAGTGGACCAGGGACCGATCTATTCGAAAAAGTTGTATTTATGGTCCGATTTGCTTGAAATTCGGCACCTAGGTAGCTTAACATATAGGACATTTTTTTGATAGGTGGACCAGATACCGATCTATTCGAAAACATGTTATTTATGGTGCGACTTGCTTGATTTTCGATGCCTAATTATAGATATGCGTATAATAGAATTGAGTCACTGTTTTACGATTCGAAAGGTTCTTGAAGGCGCCGATAACATGCGGATATTTGCTATTTAACAATACTTATTACACAGACCAACAAAAATGGAAAAGAAATTGATGCAGCAAAGGTTAACGCTATTTTTGACAGATTTTTTTTTGTGCTGATTACGAGTCCGTAAGCGTAAAGTTTCCATCAGCTCCAGATTTTAAGAAACACGAGGTTAAAGTGTCAAAAAATCGCGTTTTTTGCAATATTTGAGAAGCTCTAGCAAAGAAGCAAAGGGCGGTAGAACCTTCCACTTAGGCTTAGATTAAAGCTGAAAATCTCGACTACTATCCCTGCCAATTCCTGTACCCTTGCTTGATGGTCACTTATAGTCATTTGATGAACAGGAGAAACTGATTTAGGGAAGCTTGAGTACCTACCGCAATTAAGCAAAAGGTGGTAGAACCTTCAACTTAGGCTGAAATTAAGGCTTGGACTGACTTCAATACCTGAAAATACCATTCCTGCACCTTGACCCTAAGGTCACCTATAGCTATTTATTGAACAGCTAACACTGATTTGTACACATATTTTTTTTTCAATTGCATAATTTTCCAGTATATTTTTTATTGTTGGACGATAAAATGTAAATGCGTATAGGTTACCATCAGGGCAAGGTGCAGGAATAGTATTCTCAGGGATAGTAGTCTGTAGTTCTAGCTTTAATTAAAGCCTAAGTGGAAGGTTCTATCACCTTTGTTTCCTTGCAAAAGGTTCTAAAATATTGCAAAAAATGCGATTTTTTGTACTATAGGTTTTCGGAGACGAGAATTATGTTTGATATCGATTTATACAAAAAATTTCTTGTATTAACATAATTTTTTTTTATTAGTATTATTTATTGTTTATTAAACACAATATTGGTTAAAATTGATTTTTTACAGATATGTACATGGAATTGGGTCTGAAACACGAAACTCATTATTTCATTTGCACAATGGACGCGATATCATTCTGGTTACCACTTGTCGACATGGAAAGAGTTGGCGTGAACTACAGGACGGCAGATGCGATGAAGATAATCGCGAATATGACAAGTATGTTGACTAGTACACTACCATAATACGTAGATAATATGCATATACATATGTACATAATGATTTTGAAGTTCAAATATTGATTTTTTTTTTTTTTTAAATCTATTTTTCAGATATGACTATGAAACTTTGCTGCAAAACTCAACGTTTTGCTTGGTGCCTCGCGGGCGACGTTTGGGATCTTTTCGGTANTAAGAAGCAAAGGGCGGTAGAACCTTCCACTTAGGCTTAGATTAAAGCTGAAAATCTCGACTACTATCCCTGCCAATTCCTGTACCTTTGCTTGATGGTCACTTATAGTCATTTGATGAACAGGAGAAACTGATTTAGGGAAGCTTGAGTACCTACCGCAATTAAGCAAAAGGTGGTAGAACCTTCAACTTAGGCTGAAATTAAGGCTTGGACTGACTTCAATACCTGAAAATACCATTCCTGCACCTTGACCCTAAGGTCACCTATAGCTATTTATTGAACAGCTAACACTGATTTGTACACATATTTTTTTTTCAATTGCATAATTTTCCAGTATATTTTTTATTGTTGGACGATAAAATGTAAATGCGTATAGGTTACCATCAGGGCAAGGTGCAGGAATAGTATTCTCAGGGATAGTAGTCTGTAGTTCTAGCTTTAATTAAAGCCTAAGTGGAAGGTTCTATCACCTTTGTTTCCTTGCAAAAGGTTCTAAAATATTGCAAAAAATGCGATTTTTTGTACTATAGGTTTTCGGAGACGAGAATTATGTTTGATATCGATTTATACAAAAAATTTCTTGTATTAACATAATTTTTTTTTATTAGTATTATTTATTGTTTATTAAACACAATATTGGTTAAAATTGATTTTTTACAGATATGTACATGGAATTGGGTCTGAAACACGAAACTCATTATTTCATTTGCACAATGGACGCGATATCATTCTGGTTACCACTTGTCGACATGGAAAGAGTTGGCGTGAACTACAGGACGGCAGATGCGATGAAGATAATCGCGAATATGACAAGTATGTTGACTAGTACACTACCATAATACGTAGATAATATGCATATACATATGTACATAATGATTTTGAAGTTCAAATATTGATTTTTTTTTTTTTTTAAATCTATTTTTCAGATATGACTATGAAACTTTGCTGCAAAACTCAACGTTTTGCTTGGTGCCTCGCGGGCGACGTTTGGGATCTTTTCGGTAAGTCTTACAGATTGATACATGAATCCGGAGTTTGGTAATTTTTATCGCCTTTTATGTGACTGTAATGCTAATATTTGCAGTTACACATAGTATACGCATTGGTTTTCAAGATCCATTTCTTTTAAATAACAGGTCTATTCTGTGTGGTAATACAAATTTTGTAACCGGTTAATAAAGTGCTTGACAATTTTTAAATCCTTTTCGCATTCTGTGTACTCTTGCAACCGGTAAATTTGATTACCATCTCATAAGCTGCAGTGCCATTCTGACAAACGCTACGCTAAATTTTCGTGGCCAAAATTTTCTAGACGAAAAGCAGTGGGGCCTAAAAGTATACAACATGAAAAAGTAACATAAGTCATGTGTAAGCAGCCAATGCTGACAGTATGGGGGGCATGTAATTAGATGTTGCATGTTCGTAGGCGGGCCTGCTTTTATTTTGGAGATTTTCGGCGATCAAAATTAGCGATAGCGAATGTCAGAATGCCAGAATTTCGAGAATTCTTCATAGCTGAATTGCTGAATATCTTAACTGCATTACCAACGTACCTAGAATCGCAGGGACAAGAAGTGGTACCTGTTTTTTTTATTGTAATAAAATTTTCCGGTTATAAAATCATCGGTAACTTGAAGAATAAACCTTTAAATGTACACTGCTTTTTTCTTTGGTCGCCCTCATTATTATTATTTATTCTAATTTGCACGTTTATTTGTTTTATTTAAAGGTTTCTAGAGGCGTTACAGGCGGGCTGCATTCCCGTTTTGCTGTCAAATGGCTGGGTACTGCCCTTTGANGTGACTGTAATGCTAATATTTGCAGTTACACATAGTATACGCATTGGTTTTTAAGATCCATTTCTTTTAAATAACAGGCCTATTCTGTGTGGTAATACAAATTTTGTAACCGGTTAATAAAGTGCTTGACAATTTTTAAGCCCTTTTCGCATTCTGTGTACTCTTGCAACCGGCAAATTTGATTACCATCTCATAAGCTGCAGTGCAATTCTGACAATCGCTACGCTAAATTTTCGTCGCCAAAATTTTCTATGTAGACGAAAAGCAGTGGGGCCTAAAAGTATACAACATGAAAAAGTAACATAAGCTATGTGTAAGCAGCCAATGCTGGCAGTATTTATGGGGGTATGTAGTTAGGTGTTGCATGTTCGTAGGCTTTTCTTTTGGAGATTTTCGGCGATCAAAATTAGCGATAGCGAATGTTGGAATCCGGCTGCTGCTGGTAACAAAGTATTACCCCGTGAAATATGCAATGCCAGAATTTCGAGAATTCTTCATAGCTGAATTGCTGAATATCTTAACTGCATTACCAACTTACCTAGAATCGCAGGGACAAGAAGTGGTACCAGGTTTTTTTTTGGTAATAAAATTTTCCGGTTAAAAAATCATCGGTAACTTGAAGAATAAACCTTTAAATGTACACTGCTTTTTTCTTTGGTCGCCCTTATTATTATTATTTATTCTAATTTGCACGTTTATTTGTTTTATTTAAAGGTTTCTAGAGGCGTTACAAGCGGGCTGCATTCCCGTTTTGCTGTCAAATGGCTGGGTACTGCCCTTTGAGTCAAAAATCGATTGGAAAGAGGCTGTTGTCTGGGCTGACGAAAGATTGTTGCTACAGGTAGGTTTCTTACATAAACATAATATGTATGTAAAATTAAAATCAAATGAATCTAATTTAATTTATATCAACATATTTTATAATTTGAAAGGAAGCGCAAATCTCTATCATTTATGAAATTTTATTAATTAATTAATTGATATTTGTCGGTTAACTTTTGTTGTAAGTGTTGAACGAGCTTCTCCTATAATTTGTGATGTACGTCCGGATGTTATAATGCAAATGGAGATACCTACAATTTTAANCTAAAATCAAATGCATCTAATTTAATTTATATCAACATATTTTATAATGTGAAAGGAAGCGCAAAATTCTATCATTTATGAAATTGTATTAATTAATTGATTGATATTTGTCGGTTAACTTTTGTTGTAAGTGTTGAACGAGCTTCTCCTCTAATTTTTGATGTACGTCCGGATGTTATAATGCAAATGGAGATACCTACAATTTTAAGCCGCATCCGAACGGCAAATGGTTTTGTGAGAAGCCTTTTCAAGGCAGAAGTACACTCGGTGGTTTGTCTATGCCTGGCGAGGGGTCCGCTGTTTTTCTAACGGATAAAAAGCACACTTGAGCTTGACCAAAATTAGTTTCATGGACGAACCTTAATTTTTCTTCTACACAAACGCATGAAACATGTTCAAACTCTGGGTGCTGAACCTTTCGTCGCTGAAATTCATGTTTACTTCTCTGCAGCGGGATTTCACTTCTAGCGAAAACTCAGTTTCTTCAGTCATTTATTTTGCAAATACGATATTTCGCGAATTCCAAGCTAAAATAACTCCAAACGAATTAAATTTCACAACGTTAACATATCACACAATTTCTGTGACTATTTTGGATTTAGTAAATTTGCGTATTACTGAAGAGATACGGTTAGAAATATAACTGGTAAATAGATATTTTAGGAAACGATGAATTTTTAATTGCACTTGCTTCTTGCATTAAAAAATAATTTTTTTGAAAAAGTGGCTCTAAGCTAGCGATATGCATTCTTTGGCTTCACAATAACGTCCTAATTCACGTTCATTAAATATAAAAATTCGATATCTCAACTTTCATACATAATAGCGAACATTTCTTTTTTTTTTTTGTAACACAGGTCACAGAAGTAGTCCGCTCTATATCATTGGAAAAGATTTTAGCATTACGACAGCAGACGCAAGTACTTTGGGAACGCTATTTTGGATCTATTGAAAAAATAGTCTTTACTACCTTTGAGGTGAGTGAAAAAAACACCGCATATAAATACTTGTAGCAGACAAAAAAGAGGACACGTGAAAAATGTACGATGACATATGTATGTATGTATGTACATATTTGGTTTTATTTATAAACAAAGAATTATACAAATTTGGGATTGAGCCAAGGTACATTGAACAGGTAGTATGAGTGGAGCAGCTGATTTTATCTAATTTTTTTAATTATTTGGTCCCGAAAACGTCAATTATTTTACATTTTTTCTCTCAAAAATTCTAAATTGTTAAAATTTATTTGCATGTGAAACCTTTATCTATTATAAACCATCGATTGAATAGCAGCTTTTGGAACGTTCGCCTAACTCAGCAGCACAACCGCTGTTTACTGGGTCATGCAAAGGATGAATCAATGCTTCGAGATGCAAACAAATTTACGAAGAAAGAAAGTTCCAACCATGATAACAATATAGTAAGGTAGAACCGCTGAGAGTCACTTTCAAAATTCTTGACGTTTCCAAACAATTTAATTTTTAAATTTACTCACAAACTCACACACACATTTTCATTTTCAATCTCAAGCAACAACAATTTCGAACAATTTCAATTTTTTATTTTCACTTTTATATGATTTTAAAATGTTGGCAAACTTCAAAAAAAAAATCATGGCCGACAAATTGAGAGAACGTTTCTACCTTGCTATGTTTTTATCACGGTTCCAACGATTTTTATTTCTTCCAATTTAAATCTTTTACTTTTTATTTATTTTTTTTCACATGGCACGCTTTGATGTAGAAGAAAAAAATCGATAGTTTTTGACCATACCAGAAGCAACAACAAAATACACGCAAATGTTGTTTTTGCTCTAATGCTGCTACCTGTTTGATATGCCTTGGATTGCACTAATTTGATACAAGTATTACAAACATATATATACAGTGGAGTTTACATTAGAAGGCCCTTATTAGAAGCAAACGAATTTCCCTGTCCAATTCAATTATAAAACACCCCTTTCCACTAAACAATATTTTATCTGGAAAAATAAGTTCTCAATGAACCATATTCAGCTAGAAGACAAATTTCAATTTGGGCACCAATTTGGCTCGATGACATGGCGAGAATGGCTCGCGATAGATAGATAACGAGGGTCTTTCAGGCGAGAAAAATGCTCCTCTTGAAGGCATTAGATTTTCTTGTATGAGATGCTGGCACTCCGAGATCATACGTCTCGCCCTTTGCCCAATAAGTGGGACGCAGGCGGACGCACCTAAAATTCTTTTTAATAGCGTTAATAGCGTAGAGTGTATATATGTAGTATTTTTCAAACCGCAAAGCCCTTTTCGGTTCAGTCAATTTTGTATATTTCACAATTGTCATTCCACTTACAGCCGCGTGTTATCTCATTCAAATAGTAAGTAGCATTTTATTGCAGCTGAATAAATACTACTTTCCATAATACATATGTAAATTTTTACTTGTACAATACAATTTGGTTTATTAATATACTGCATTGATTTATAGTCACGACAACCAAGTGTCCTCTTATTTTGTCGGCTACTGTATGTAATACTGTATACTTAACTGCATTTGTCTTTATAATTATTTCAGACCTTATCATTTTTACCATTTTTTGTTCCATATGCTCCTTTTACTAAAAATACGCCTCCTCATTTAGTGAATTTATTTATCTATATTGTATGGATGTAGTTAAAAAGTATCGACTTCTTATAATTTCCTTTGTTAGCAATATCTGAACTAGTAGCAGTCTTATTCCAGAATGTCGAATATAAAAAAGAACTACACGTTTGTCAGAAAATTCGAAAAATTATTTCACAGCACATGATAATCATATGGGCTTAGGAGACTTTACCTTAGGTTTTTCTTTAACAAATTATAACAAAAATTTGCTACAGCCTTTGCTGAAAGGTAAATACGAGCACTGTGTACATTTTTAGCGCATAATTTCAAAAATGCCAAATTTTGAGTTGCGCCTCTTTTGAAGACGGTGTGCGATATGTATGTACCTAAGAGCTCTCCTTTGTGAATTAGGCAATGATTTCTGTGTATTCCCGGGCACTTTTGTTTCCATTAACGCTTCTCAGACTTTATTTAACCAAGAATCGTACCAAAGATCTGTACTAGCAACAAACTAGGCAGGCATTTGGACGAATCCCCAAAATGTTATGCCCGAGTGATTCAAATCTGCCAATGAAATTATTTCCTTCACATACATAGTAAGAATACATAGTAAGATGGGGCAGTCCCCAAGTAATGTTATAAAATAATTCCTATTGCTTAAAACCTGGCCTCTGTTTGCGGCGATGTTCAGTCCCCCAAATATTTCTAATATCCAGTCTCTTTCTTGCAAGTATGTATACAAATACATACTTATATGAGAGGAAAAGAAGAATAAGCAAAAAGTCGAATTACTTTTAACCGTATTTAAATGCATATTTTATATATGTGAAAAGATTTCAATTACATTTAGGTTTGTACATTACATTTGGTAGCAACGTAAATAGTTACAAGAATTAAGTATCCTGCTGACACATACATACATTTATATGTAAGATTTTTATAATTGTAGAGCACTCTTAAGTAGTCTATCATAGTTTTTACAATAAGCCTGGCACTTTGTAAACCATCCACTGGCTAGAAACTGCTAACTTCGTATATTGTGCTGGGTGTGAAGGCCTTGGCTTAAAGTTGAGGATATGTTTAAATGCACATAGGAAATTTGAAAGTTTGTTTAACTTTTGTCTGTGCTATATTTAACTTTGCTATATACTTGTATATAGCTTTGTGAATTCTCTGTAGCGCCTGGAAGCGTTTTAGGTATTCTCATTGTTGGGCATTTAGAAAAGTAGTGAGAAAAGGCTCCTTACGCCTGTCGAACCGACTCCGGAACCGAGGGTAAAACCGGTGCCTGAAGAGCGGTGCCGGGATGCGTGACTGGAAACGT